CACACACACACACACACACACACCCCACTGAATATCGTAACCGACACGTAGAACGTAGGGTAGAGTGCCACTACAAGTACAAGACTGCCCAGGTGTAAGTAATCCTGTCGCTACGATACGTGATACGCTGTTGACAGACGACACAGAGTTTCTGTGGCCACAGAGATCTATAACGCCATGCCTCAATCAATGCCAGCCCCCGGTCTCTTCCACCACAAGTGTACTGTATTGTAAGTTGTAAGAGATTTAAGTCAAGGGTTAAAGTCGCTGGCTTTGGCTCTCACTCGTGCTTTCTCGTTCTTCTTCTTGTCCATGTTTATATACCCCCCCCTCCTTTCTCTGTAGACTCTCTCTCTCTCTGTCTCTCTCTCTCTCTCTCTCTTTCTCTCTGTATGTGTGTTTGTGTGTGTGTGTGTATGTGTGTGTCTGTCTATCTGTCTCTGTCTGTTTGTCTGTCTGGCTCTGACTGTCTGTTTGCCTGTATTTTCCTGTTTCTGCTCTGTACCAACGCAGGTGGTGCAGCGGGTAGGTGCTTCGCCCTAAAACGGAGAAGAGCCCAGTTAGATTCCTATATCTGGGAAGATTACATTTTTGTTCAGTCTTTCTTATGAGACGTTGCAGCTCTTCCAGCACGGGCTGGCCCGCCTCCTAAATGATCTAAATTGTGTCGACGATGGCATAAAACACCAGTATGCAGAAGAAAAACAAAACGAAAAAAAAAAAAAAAAAAAATCTTGTCATTTTATCTGTCTTTTTCTCTATCCACCCCTGCCCTCTCCTTCTTTATGCCCCTGTTCGTTCATTTGTATAAAAGGAAAACAATCTGTACCGAACCAATCTTTCCCACCCAGATACACATGTATATTACATAATAATAAGACGAGCTGCGGGTGTCAGTGGAAGTAATCTGCTGCATCACTTGTGGGTTGAGACTTCTTGCGACCGCTTTTTCCTATTCTGTGGTTCGAACGCACAGCAGTGAACCACGGGCCAATTTTTATGTACATGATGTTTCTATGGGCTTAACGCTGTCTCGCTTAAAGTGGAAACTCGGTCTTCCTTATATTAACGCCTTCGGCTAAAAGGCTGCTGTTGTTCGTCGATTGTATGCGTAGTTTTGTTCATGTGTAAGTGTAAACGCAACTGTTTTTACACGTCTAAACGAATGTGCATGAGCCATTTTTTTACTTCAAGTTGGAAAAATACAGATCATCAAACCATCAGACCATGGGGGATAGAGAAGAGAGAGAGAGAGAGA